ATTTCTATAAATATAAGATAAATAAAATATGAATAATAAAGAAAAACAGGCACAATTGGCTCAAAGGCAAAAAGAGACAGAGAGATCTGGTTTTGCATTTATGCTCAAACGTCACAATAACATCAGTGATCAAAATATTTCTTTCTTATTGGATTCGGGTGCATCTGATCACTTGACCAACAACGAAAAGCTAATTTAAATTTGCAACTAAAAAGGGATCAATGGAATTGCTAACCGATACTTTTACCAATGTTACCCCAAAGGATGTGCTATTTTGTCCTGATGTATCACAAAACCTTATTTCTGTTAAAAAGATGCAAGATGCTGGTTTTACGATTGTATTTCATCCAGGAGGTGTGATTGTGAGTAAAGATAAAATAAATATAATGGATGCACATTTTATTGATAATGTCCCTTCTGTGAGATTTACAATACCTAGGAATGCATTTGTATCAAGTAAAATAAATTATAACATATGGCATGAGAGGTTAGGGCATATAAGTCAGGGAAAATTTCTTGAAATTAATAACCACAATTTATTTGAAGATACCTAAATGCTAACTAATGTTAATCCAGTTAATGATTTATGCGAAGCCTGCATGAAGGGAAAACAAACTCGACTTCATTTTGAAAAGGTTAAAAAAAGATCACATAAATAGGACATTATTTGTAATACATTTCGATGTCTGTGGTCCGATAACACCTCCAGCAATAAATAAAAAGAATTACTATGTTATTTTTATAGATCAATATACATATTACTGTGTAACATATTTGTTAACTTACAAGTCAGATGTATTTACTGCATTTAGGGATTTTATTTTAAAAAGCGAAGCTCATTTTAATCTAAAAGTAGTTAATCTATACATAGATAATGGAAGGGAATATTTATCAAATGAAATGCGAGTATTTTGAGTTGAAAAAGGCATCAGCTACCATTTAACAGTTCCACACACACCTCAGCAAAATGGTGTATCCGAAAGGATGATAAGGTCTATAACTGAAAAAGCTCGTGCCAAACTACAGAAAAGTTTCTGGGGTGAAGCTGTATTAACAGCAACGTATTTATTAAATAGAAGTCCAAGTAATGCACTTAAAGATTTATTGAAAACACCATAAAAAATGTGTCATAACAAAAGTTTAAAGTATTTAAAAGTTTTTGGTTCCACAGTATATGTTCATATTAAACTACAAAAAGAAAGTTTGACGAAAAGTCATGGAAAAGTATACTTGTGGGGTATGCACCAAATGGGTATAGAGTGTGATGCGTTGGAAAAGAAACATTTGTAACAGCAAGAGATGTTGTTGTTGATGAAACAAATATGGTAAAATCTAGAGCTGTGGTTGAGGATGACATGTATCTTAATAATGAAGATGGTGAATGTATTCAATCAAATATTGATAATGAAAATGTCCTCAACAATAATGGGAAATCTGATCAAGCAGGTGAACAGACTAGTGATATGGTAGAATTTGAGAATGCCGATCCAGAAATGTCTGGTGAAAATTCTAATAAAAAAGAAGACTTGGAATCGAAGATAAATATTAGAAAAAGTGATCGAATAAAGAATAAACCAAAAGTATCTTATAAAGATTTAATAAATAATTGTGTAATGCATACTCAATCTTTAATCTATTCCATACCAAATAAATTTGTCGAGGTTAAATATAGTAAAGATAGAACACATTGGGAGAAAGCTATTAAAGAAGAACTGGACTCACACTCATTAAATAAATAATTGTACAAAAGCCTAAAAATAAAAATGTAGTTGATTGTAGATGGATTTTTACAATCAAACAAAATGAATTCCGCGAACCAATAAAATATAAAGCCAGACTTGTTGCTCGCGGTTTTACGCAAGAATACTTAGTTGATTATAATGAAACATTTGCACCTGTAGCAAGAATCTCAAGTTTTAGATTGATTATGTCTATAGCAAATCAATATGACCTTTTAGTACATCATATGGATGTTAAAACAGTCTTTTTTGAATGGAATATTAAAAAAAGAAATTTATATGCAAATACCCGAGGGTCTAATAAGTAGAGAAAATGAAGTTTGTAAACTACATAAAGCTATTTATGGTCTCAAACAAGCTGCAAGGTGTTGGTTTGAAATATTCGAGAAAGCATTGACAGAAATAGGCTTTGTTAATTCACCAGTAGATCGTTGTATATATCTTCTTGACAAAGGGGATATATTCTCTTATATATATATTCTTTTATATGTAGATGATTTAGTAATCTCTACCAAAAATAATCAAGTAATGAAAGATTTTAAATTATACCTAATGAACAAATTTGGAATGGCTGATTTAAATGAGATTTAATTTTTCTTAGGCATAAAAGTTGATAAAAGTGATGGTCATATAAGTCCTAGTCTGCTTACATAAAATCAATACTTTTAAAATATAATATGGAAAATTGCAATCCTGTTAACTGTCCTCTGCCAACTAAACTTAATCATATTGCTCTTAGCTCAGATGATAAGTGTGATGCCCCATGTCGAAACGTAATAGGATGTTTAATGTATATTATGTTATGTACAAGACCTGATTTAAGTACAGCCGTTAATGTCTTAAGTCGTTATTGTGAAAAGAATAACACAGAACTTTGCCAATGCCTGAAGAAAGTTTAAAGGTACCTAAAGGGTACAGTTGATTTAAAGTTATCTTTTCAGAAAAACTCAAATTTTAATGAGTTTTTGGTCGGCTATGTGGATTCAGATTGGGGTGGCAGTGAATCAGATAAAAAAAGTACTACTGGATACATATTTAAAATGTTTGATTCTAATGTAATATGTTTGATTCTAATGTAATATGTTGGAATACAAGGAAGCAAAACTCGGTAGCAGCATCTTCAATAGAGGCAGAATATATGGCCTTATTTGAGGCAGTTAGAGAAGCCAAGTGGTTAAATTCATTTTTAATAAGTTTAAAGATAAATGTAATTAATCCAATTAGATTATATGAAGATAATCAAGGATGTATGTATAAGTATTGCCAATAACCCCTCATGTCATAAACGTTCAAAGCACATTGATATAACATATCATTTTACAAGAGAACAGCTTGATAAGAACCTAATTGAAACTGTTTATATTCCCACAGGTAAACAAATCGCAGATATGCTAACTAAATCATTACCAGCGCAACGTTTTTGTGATCTGCGAGATCAAATGAATTTGATAAACTGAAAAATGGAATGGAATGGGATGATATGGATCTCATTGAAAGTTTTTTTTATTTTTATTTTTATGATTTGAAATTAAATTGTTTAACGTAAATTATAATTTTTATACATCAGTCTGATTGGGTTTTTGTGGGTTTTCCCCAATCCTTGCAACAAATGTTGGACTAAAATTGTACAACTCCCACTATAGCACATACAGACACTTTTCTTATCTTAAGTAAACTATAACGAATATATATATACTACAGTAGAATCCTGTTATAACGACTCCGCTTATAATGTCCGTCCGGGTATTGCGACGAAAACTCGATGGCTTGATTGGTCCCCAGACAGACTTATGCACTTAAATCCTTCTGCTTAGTGCGTCTTCCGGGTATAACGACGAAAAATCGTCGGTCTCTTCAAAGTCGCTATAAGCGGATTCTACTGTATTTTTGAGGAGGTGTGTAGAAATATCACATCATTAAAGGCAAAAACAGTATACATATAATATAATACATATATATCGAATATCCATATTTTTGGCATTTATGGGTTATACGGCCTTACTATTATATTATGCTTTTTCGTCCTCTTCCTTGTTGGTTCCTTGAACAATAAACACGTGTGTCTGCTATAAAATTGAAATACTCTAAACCAGTGTTTCCCAAACTTGTCGGGACCGCGACCCATCTATACAAAAAATTGATAGATCTATATTGCTTTTAGTACCCACCAAAAATCTACCCGCGACCCACCAGTGGGTCGCGACTCACACTTAGGGAAATACTGCTCTAAACAAAGTGTTTTTCTTTATTTGCCTATTGGAAATATACAAAACGAGGAATCAAGACAGACCAAGGAGATACATATTAAGGATTGAAATCTGTGTTCCACTAGCTAAAGGCTCTGCGGATTGATCTGTTTCCTACAGATTTTCTACAAGAACACTTAACCTGCTGATGTTGTTCGGTCATTTGCTAGAGCACAATTAACTGATATGGTGATGTGGCTCTGCTTATATAGGCCGCGTTGGTGGTTAGTGTGACCAGATCAGGTAATCGGGTACTTTGGGTGGCGTGAGTGGCTAACGATTGTTATCGTTTGTCCAGGGCTGCGTGACAGGCGATTGTTATCGTATCCCCAGGGTTGCGTGAATGGCGGTCGATTGGTATCTTGTGCTTGCGCTTTTGAATTATAAACTACTTTTATATGTTTGTATTTACACGGAAGCTTGCGCATCCGAATTTCCCTGTTTTTTAGTTTTAATATGGAAATTTCTTTTGTAGTTGGGAATTTATTTTTAGTTTTTTAAATAAAATAAGTGTTTTCTAAAAAAATTTTAATATTAAATTTTTTTGCTTAAAATTTTATTTTATTCTTGCACGGAATAAGCTTGGAGCCACTGTATGTTTCATTTTTTGTTGTGACGGCGGGAGCCTATTCGAGCCGATGAATTTCAGGTTGGTGTCGGCAAGGCGAACACAAATATCACTGGATTGCCTGAGAATTGCAACCAGTTAGTTTTTTTTTTGTTTTCCATACAGTTCACAATGTTGAGACCGGGAAACAATAGGTATAATTGGTTTTATAGAGAAATACGTGTTGCTTATTTACTAACCCGTTAAACAATGAGAAGCTAACTTGTGATAATCGATAAGTAGTAAATGTAATCTAAATAATATACTGAATTTGTTTAGTTAGAAATATAAAATACCAATAACATGGCGTATAAGAATGTAAGAAGTGTTTTCAGAGTGGCCGTGCTCTTTGATTACAAATAACAGCTGCTTTCTATTTACCTATTCGCTACATAATCGATAAGTAGTAAATGTAATCTAAATAATATACTGAATTCGTTTAGTTAGAAATATAAAATACCAATAACATGGCGTATAAGAATGTAAGAAGTGTTTTCAGAGTGGCCGTGCTCTTTGATTACAAATAACAGCTGTTAATAGGTAAGTGTTTACTTTGTTTACAATTTGAAAATGATATTTATTCTAATTTATTTTAGTTGATTAGTGATAATGCTTTGCGGTGAGTACCTTCTTTGTAGCGGTGTTGATGGCAGGCCTGGGCAGCAAGACTGGCGTTGATGATTTTTCCATGGCAAGCTTTAAATGGAAATTTGAGTGCAGCAACAGTCCAGTGAGAAGGAGCGCAGCCGTCATCGTTAGGTGCGTCCTAGGAGTATGCCGAATTCTTCTTCTGATGGGGTCGTCCAGGTCCAGAAGGTGCAGAGCAGAGGTGGTGTTTTTTACAGGGCATAAGGTTAGTCGTTGTAGCAGTGGTCGTCGAATTCTAAATTGTTGTTTATTTCTCTCATCAAGGCAAGAACGGGCAGCAGCCACGGCAGCAGCAGGAGTAGCGGTCATCTTGTGGCCATGTGTTCCAGTATATAAGGAGCAGGTGGCAGTGGTAAAGGTCCCTCATCGTCCTTCCAAAGGTGCAGAGCAGAAGTGATCTTTTTGCAGAGTACAAGGCAAGTCGTTGAAGAAGCGGTCGTCGAGATTTAAATTGTTGTAGATTTTTCTCATCAGGGCAAGAACGGGAAGCAAAAGCAGCAGTCTCGGCAGCATCAGAAGTAGCAGTCATTTTGTGGCATCGTGTTCCAGAATTTAAGGAGTGGGTGGCAGCAACAGCATGTTCCTCTTCATCCTTCCAAATGGCAGCAATAAAGACGCTCTACTGTGGACACAAAAAAGGGAACTCGTCGGCTGTCTCTGAAAGGAATGATAAGAAGAATTAGTAGTGGTGGCCATGGTTTTTGGGACCACCATAGATATATCTATATCATTTAAATCAAACAATTCTTCTTCCAGACGCAGTTTCAGCCTTAAATGGCCAGCATCAAGCTGCTGTTCTGGAGTTGGTGGCTGGATTTCGTGCGGCAGTAGCGGGCTCATAATAAGCCTCTGGATATACTCTGGCTGGAAACGGATCTGTTGAGCAGCATCTCATCGACTGATTCGTGCGTTTCTGACATCAGGAGACATGGAATTAATATAGGTCGTGCGTGTTCCTGCCTCTGCCGTAGTAAATCTTCCCTTTGCTCTACACGTAACTTTTCTAATTGCAGTTTACCGAGGCGAATCAACGTGGGAACTTCATGCTGCTGCTGTCCTGGCTGTTGGAGGAGAAGCTGTTGCATGGGAATAAAGTGCATCTCTATCTGTTTCTTATAAATTGGAAGATCCTCGTTGTTAGTAATAAACAAATTTGTTAGTACATTTTTGGCTTCTACGTTTGGGTGTTGGTAGAAAGATTTTGCGAGCGTGCCACTCGCATCATCAAAAACCTCTTGGGCCGATTTTACATTATAGGTGTTACGAATATCCTGATTTTTGGTATATGGGCTAGCTTGAACAGCCCAACGTAGGATCTTGTTTTGAGAGATCTTAGTTTTGCTAAACTGTGTTTTTGAAACTAACGGGCCCCAGACAGGGAGAGCATATTGCCATGTAGGCGCAATTAGTTGTTTATAGAGAAGAACCTTACTGGCAGCAGGGAGCTTGCTATCCTTTCCCAAAATCCAATTTAATCCATAGGCAGAGGCACGTATCCTGCTCGCAAGTTGCTTGGTGTGATGGTGGAGTTTAATCTCCTACCCAAGACTAAGCCGAGGTTTTTAATTTGCGAACCGTAGAGTTCTGGGGATTTGGGCCCACGTATGCCTGAGATAGCGCGTACTAAACATTATATGAACTGCTTTGTTCAGATTAAGAGTAATTCCCCATTTTTCGCCCAATTTGTGATAACTGAGAGGTAGTTGGTGTTAATGGCAATATGCGCTGATTTGTCTGCACACAAAATTATAGTGTGGTCCGCATAAGTCGACAGTAAAATGTTTTGTAGTCCAGTTTTTCTTTAAACATGGTTGAAACAACAGGAGTTGGTAGAGGCATGTCCGATGTATAGATTGTATACAGAATAGAACCCAGAACACTGCCCTGAGGCACACCCGCAGAAATTTTCCCAATTCTGGATTGGAGACCATTGGATCCATTAACAAAGTACGATTTGTGAAATAACTTTCAAGAACTTTAAGCAAACTGTAAGGCAGCAATTTGGCAAGTTTCAGAATTAGACCTTGGTGCCAGACGCGATCAAACAGCAGAGCAGTGGAGTTTTTGCTGGAAATCATTTTGAGTAAATTGCGTGTCGCGAAATAATTGTTGCTCTGTGCTGTGTTCTTTCCGAAAACCAAATCGGTGAGAGGGGACAGCCGCTTCAAAATCTCTGCAGCGAAACATTCTTTTTCATGAGAAGTATTTGGAAAATTTTGGAGAAACCCGCTAATGAACTGATTGGCCTGTAAGAGGAGACCTCATGGTGACACTTTCCAGGTTTATAATCATAGAGATGGTGGCACACTTCCATTGTTTTGGAAAATGTCCATGCAGTTATAATTGTAGGTCACGAGCAGAACAGCTTTAGAGGGAAGTTTTTTAATTAGACTGTTATCTATTTTGTCTGCTCCAGGGGCTTTTTTGTTCTGAAGCACTTTTATTTCTTCATAGACTTCCAGGGTGATCCCCATTGAAAGTCTCCCTATTAGTCGAAACAACTTTTTTTGTTGTTTAATAATTTCTGCTGACTCAGAAGTGCTATTTCTCTATATGCAATTGAGGTTGTTAGTGTTTAACAAATTCATCAGATTTTTTCTCGTTAGTTTTAGTCCATATAAAATTATTTCTATTTTTCCCACCACCAATATCAGATTCGATTTTTAATGGCCAGTTTGGCTCAGGCTTTTTTATTAAATCTATTAATGATTTTCCAGAGTTTCTGGAAACGATAGCGGTCAGATGGATCAATTTTGTTGAAGATTTTATTATTTAATTTAATTTTTTCTTCTTCTATATTTTTTACGATTATTTGGTCCTGCTATAAAGCAGCGTTTACTCTGATTTTTGGTATCATTTTGGTATAATTTGACCCGATCGCAGTCGCAGACTCGGTCCCTAATGTTGAGTTGCTGCAGCAGCAGCACTGTAAATTTAACATAGCTGTCGAGGGAGTCAATTATGAATTCAATATCTTCACCAGAATTATTTTCAATATTGAGTGAGATTGAGTCAGATAGAACGCGTTGGAATTTTTTAATGCTGGCTCCAGGTGGTAGGAGCCTACGATTTTGGGCATTATTATAAAATTGTCCACTGAGGGCTAGTTCGATAAAAACTGGAAGATGATCTGAGTTCAGATCAACCGTTGAATGAGTACGAATCCTATCACTAGGAAAACCTGAATAAATAGCGAAGTCAGTCGCTGAAGGTCTTCTCCTTGTATCAAAAGGGTAGTGTGTTGCACCACCGGTCGCTAAAACATAAACTTGTCATCAGAATGAATTGCTCGCATTAGATATCTGCCTCTAGGACAGGACCTTGTGCATCCCCACCAGGGGTTTTTGGCGTTCCAGTCGCCGCAAATAATGATCTTTCCATTATTGGACAGTTTTTGTATATGAACAAGCTAGTTTTTGAAGTGATTAATAGACAATTTATGGCTAGGTGGAAGATATACAGGTGCAACAACAAAAACTTCCCTATTTGTGGCTGTAAGGGCTATCGGGGAGCTTTGTATACAGTCTTCCCGTATGGGTTGCAGAGCCATATGTTTTGGAGAATCTTTTATATAGATAGCCGTACCGCCCCTTCGTTTAGTCGGGTGGGTGGCGGTATACATAATGTATCCGTTCAAATGGAAGGTTTTAATGCGAATATAAGGCGAATTTCAATACCAATCATAATATCTATTTTGTTTAATTGCATAAAAAGTTCAACGTCAGAGAATCTATTGCCTAGGCCGCAGGCATTCCAGTATGCAATTTAAAAAGAGTTGTATACGGAAACACCCGCGTGAGCCAATGCATTTATTAAACAAAATTGATATTCTGATTGGTACTGAAATTCGCCTCGTATGTAAATTTGATCCGCAAACCACCACCATTAAAACCGTCCATTGCCATTGCCCAAAATCGTAGGCTCCTACCACCTCGAGCCAGCATTAAAAAATTCCAACGCGTTCTATCTAACTCAATCTCACTCAATATTGAAAATAATTCTGGTGAAGATATTGAATTCACAATTGACTCCCTCGACAGCTAAATTTACAGTGCTGCTGCTGCAGCAACTCAACATTAGGGACCGAGTCTGCGACTGCGATCGGGTCAAATTATACCAAAATGATACCAAAAACCAGAGTAAACGCTGCTTTATAGCAAGACCAAATAATCGTAAAAAATATAGAAGAAGAAAAATCAAATTAAATAATAAAATCTTCAACTAAATTGATCCATCTGACCGCTACCGTTTCCAGAAACTCTGGAAAATCATTAATAGATTTAAAATAAAGCCTGAGCCAAACTGGCCATTAAAAATGGAATCTGATATTGGTGGTGGGAAAAATAGAAATAATTTTATATGGACTAAAACTAACGAGAAAAAATCTGATGAATTTGTTAAACACTAACAACCTCAATTGCATATAGAGAAATAGCACTTCTGAGTCAGCAGAAATTATTAAACAACAAAAAAAGTTGTTTCGACTAATAGGGAGACTTTCAATGGGGATCACCCTGGAAGTATTTGAAGAAATAAAAGTGCTTCCAAAACAAAAAAGCCCCTGGAGCAGACAAAATAGATAACAGTCTAATTAAAAAACTTCCCTCTAAAGCTGTTCTGCTCGTGACCTACAATTATAACTGCATGGACATTTTCCAAAACAATGGAAGTGTGCCACCATCTCTATGATTATAAACCTGGAAAGTGTCACCATGAGGTCTCCTCTTACAGGCCAATCAGTTCATTAGCGGGTTTCTCCAAAATTTTCCAAATACTTCTCATGAAAAGAATGTTTCGCTGCAGAGATTTTGAAGCGGCTGTCCCCTCTCACCGATTTGGTTTTCGGAAAGAACACAGCACAGAGCAACAATTATTTCGCGACACGCAATTTACTCAAAATGATTTCCAGCAAAAACTCCACTGCTCTGCTGTTTGATCGCGTCTGGCACCAAGGTCTAATTCTGAAACTTGCCAAATTGCTGCCTTACAGTTTGCTTAAAGTTCTTGAAAGTTATTTCACAAATCGTACTTTGTTAATGGATCCAATGGTCTCCAATCCAGAATTGGGAAAATTTCTGCGGGTGTGCCTCAGGGCAGTGTTCTGGGTTCTATTCTGTATACAATCTATACATCGGACATGCCTCTACCAACTCCTGTTGTTTCAACCATGTTTAAAGAAAAACTGGACTACAAAAACATTTTACTGTCGACTTATGCGGACCACACTATAATTTTGTGTGCAGACAAATCAGCGCATATTGCCATTAACACCAACTACCTCTCAGTTATCACAAATTGGGCGAAAAAAATGGGGAATTACTCTTAATCTGAACAAAGAAGTTCATATAATGTTTAGTACGCGCTATCTCAGGCATACGTGGGCCCAAATCCCCAGAACTCTACGGTTCGCAAATTAAAAACCTCGGCTTAGTCTTGGGTAGGAGATTAAACTCCACCATCACACCAAGCAACTTGCGAGCAGGATACGTGCCTCTGCCTATGGATTAAATTGGATTTTGGGAAAGGATAGCAAGCTCCCTGCTGCCAGTAAGGTTCTTCTCTATAAACAACTAATTGCGCCTACATGGCAATATGCTCTCCCTGTCTGGGGCCCGTTAGTTTCAAAAACACAGTTTAGCAAAACTAAGATCTCTCAAAACAAGATCCTACGTTGGGCTGTTCAAGCTAGCCCATATACCAAAAATCAGGATATTCGTAACACCTATAATGTAAAATCGGCCCAAGAGGTTTTTGATGATGCGAGTGGCACGCTCGTAAAATCTTTCTACCAACACCCAAACGTAGAAGCCAAAAATGTACTAACAAATTTGTTTATTACTAACAAAAAGAATTTTACTTTTTTTTATACAGAAAAAGTTTTCCTTCAACCCCCCGGACCTACCCCCGCAAGAAGTTAGGAAGTTAATTGGGTGAGGTAAACTTTTTTTTGAAAATTTATTAAAAAGAAAAAGGAATTTTTAATAAGGGAGAGGAAGTAACACCCACGACCTATATTAATTCCATGTCTCTTGATGTGAGAAACGCAGAAATAATTGGTGGGAAGGGGCTCAAACACTTTGTTTCCCCCCAAGGGCATATCCCGAGGGGGATGTTTAGCCCGCTACTGCCGCCCCAAACCCCCCCCCCAACCCCGAAAAGGGG